CTGTTATTAGGCTATAGGTGTAGGATTTTGCAAAATCCGGCCTACTAAAAACAAGATCCTCAAAATCACCATAGTCATAGACACGGCGCATATATTAAAGATGGTTTCTCATGTGGCAGGGACCAGCAAAACAAGAACCCTGATTTCCCTCGTTCATAGTATGTTTTCACTACTGACATTATTCGGACTGTTATCCTCATCTTCACTACCATATTTACAACGTTTCAGCCGTTGTACGCTCCGCCCTTCTTCAGGTGATTGGAATTTCGAGCCGAACCCTTTATTTCATCCACCGGGATAGATTGTTCTAGTTCCAGGTGCCATGCCTCTTCCGGGTGTGTCAATTATTTTTCTTTAACTCAGCTCACAAATTTTTTTAGTTCACCACTGCTGTAGCCTGGTATTGAACTCACAACTCTTTGGGTCCTGTCACTGGATCTAACCAACGTCTTTATCATTAGGTTTATAAGTTCCAGAAATTCATACACGGATGTCCCCAAGGACACATGGTCAATGGATAAAGGCGTTGGTTAGATCCAGTGACTAGACCCATAGAGTTGTGAATTTATTACCAGGCTGCAACAGTGGTGAACCAAAAACTTGGAGCGCTGAGTTAAAGGTAAATAACTGAGACAGAATTCAAGAAAATGTAAAGAGCAGCTAAACGAGCCATGCTTGAAAAAAAAATAGTCTTGATTTCTGTGAGTTCTGGAAAATCCCAGTTAAAATTCATAATAAAGGCAATGCGTCCGTTCCGATTGTTATAAATAAACCTCGAGTTATTTCATCTTCATCAGACAAAGCAAGGCTTTTGCTATCAACTTTACTGTAATTCTACGTTAGATGATAAAACTTGACTTGCTCCATCTAGCGTTAGTTTATTGGTTGATTATGTTTAGTGTCGTATAGGGGTTATTTAATGCCGAAATATAAATATTTTAAACCTAATTTTTTGGCTTCAACTAAATATATTTTAACCTTAATTGTATGCCCCCAACTACAAATAAAATGTATTGGTCATTTTTCCATAAACTGATTCATCGTCTTTGGTGAAATTTCCTCAAAAAGGACGAGAAAGCAGATACGATACTTTCCCGAAACTCTGAAATTGTTACTGCCATGATACATCCTCCACGACTCATTGCATTCCTTCTAACTACCCGAGAGCAGAAACGGTCAGGGAACAGATACTACATTCTGATCTAAATCGGAAATTTCTTAACAATCGATAATTTGACACCAGTCCGAGCGCACCGGTACTACAATCGATTTATACGTAATCAATTCCCCCATTTTTATTTTTAAAAACCATTTCACCCTGAGCAAGGTAATAAAGCCACTGAGACGCAAGGGCTTACAGAGTGTTAGAAAATATGAGAAAAATATTATTAAGAAGAGAACATTAAAAAACAATATTTAAGAAGACAGTAGATAACGATTGACATTGCATTTAAATTTTTGAAAATCAAAGTTGAATGGGAAGCAAGAAGCCGGAAGAGAGTTCTACAAGCGAGAAGTGCGTGAGAAGAAACTGTTAGCTTAGAACTTGCGGTTACATCGGACCGTTTCAAGTGGAATAGAATATGAAAAAATATTGAGGAGAGAGAACAATAAAAGAACAGGGTTTAAGAAGTCAGAAGATAACGATTGGCATTGCACTAAGTTGACTGAGAAGCAAGAAGCCGGAAGAGAGTTCCACAAGGAAGAAGTGCGTGACAAGAGAAACTGTTAGTGTCTAGTTTAAAAGTAATATAAAAACTTAAAGATTTGGATATTTTATTTCATGAACTCCACGCCTAAAAATACAATAAAGGCGAAACTTAGACACAGAGGAAAGGATGAGACAAGGAGAAAAATATTGATTTTAATATAAGGCATTATTATGAATAACGTTAAACTTTGAACAATCGCCATAAACAAACCGGTTGTCAAACCAGACAGGGAACTAATACTGGTGACCTACCACCATCCACGTGACGCAAACATGTACAATTGTCCTTACAATGACAGACTCGTAAGTTGATAAGCTGCAAGGCGCTTGGTCAGTCATGCGAAAATTCCCGCCAAAAAATATTTCACGTTATAACCCCGCAGAAACAATTGTGTCAGGAGAAAACGGAAGTACTTGCAGATACTACCCAGTGTGCCGAGTTTTAGGGAAAAGGCTATGAATGTTGGAGGTTCGGTACCAGCTTTGCTTATATTTCTAGCTCAAAGGATTGGGAACGAATATTCCATTGCTAGATTAGCGGGTTTCGTAAATATAATCTTTTTACATATCTAAATGGAAAAGCAAAATTGATTAAAAAAAAAATAAAGGAAGAAAAATAGACAAAGATCCTTTTAAGCTTATTTTTTCTGGTTTCGGTAAAATAGACCCCCAGGTCTATTTTGCCGGTAAATGTTTTTTTTTATTATTATGAAGGCAGGTAATGTTTAAAATAACAAGACAAAGATTTAACACAGAAGTTTATTTATTTTCAACGTGAATTGTTAAACCATTTTCGAATCTTTTCCACCATCATTTGTTAAAACAAGTTAAAATCATTTATTCATCATTAATTATTAAAAAAATTATAGAAGTCTCTGGATATTTTAAGCACTTCAGGCATAACAGTCTCTGTAAATCCCAAACTTGCTTTTGGGCTTGGTTCTCTTGCCAATACACTTGAGGTGCACCCACTGAAGACAACATTTACAGATCACAGAATTGTTCAAGTCTTGGCTACGCAGCTCATACAACCACTAAGTTGATGATCTCAAACATAATATATTCTTAGTTCTAAAACACTATTTATATATACTGGCAAAATAGCCTAGGTGTTTATTTTACCGGAACCGGAAAAATAGCCTTCGTGGTTATTTTACTGGGACCAGAAAAATAGCCTTGGTGTTTATTTTACTGAGATCGGAAAAATAGCCTTCGTAGTTATTTTAATGGGACCAGAAAAATAGCGTTGGTGTTTATTTTACCGGGACCGGAAAAATAATCTTGGTGTTTATTTTACCAGGAAGTTTTATTTAACCGATTTCCTTTCAGATTTTAAAAATCCGTATGGTCACGAATGTTGGTTTGGAAAAAGGGTATATCTTTTAGAAAAGCAGATATTTGAAAACTTTCGTTGCAAAGATTTACATTCTGGCAAGTTCCGATAGTAGCACCCTCAAGAACTTTGCACCTAAGTAACCTATATTCTCTTTTAATAAGTGTGGCATTCTTTAGAACGACGTTCTGCTTCTGCTTATTTCTATGTATCACGAACGAATTTAATAATTTGGTTTTAGCATTCATAGATACTTTTTTTAAATTTTTGCAAGTTTCACCAATATATTATAAGTAACAGTCATGACAGTTTATTTTTATATAGTTGTATCAGGATTATTGTTGTTATAGATATCGTTGGTTCTGCTTATATCCATTATAGCTTTGAATATGATTTTATTTTAATTTTGTTAAGATCGTTATCGATATTACTTAAAATTTGCTATGTTTATAGGGGTAGCGGACTTACTATAGAAGATACAGGGATTACAGATATAGACAGTTTCTTCTTCGCTTGGCGTTGCGAACGAAGCTTTATGAAGTGGGCTGTCCACGTCGACTGCAGGCACGCTGATGGGTGACTAGGCCGATGCGGGACAGGTAAGTCCGGCCGCAGCGAATGCAATTAAAGGTCTGGTCTGGTCCAGTATAGCTGCTGTGGCTTCTCGGTCCTTCCTGCCACAGCGTTTCTCCTTCAGGTTGGCCGAGAGTCCTCAAAGGAGGAAACGGATTGATGGACGTGCAAGTGTCGACAACTGGCGATGGTTAATGTAGCAGGTACCAAGGGACTTCTTGAGGGTGTCCTTATAACTAGTCACGGTGGCCAGTGAAAAGTACGTCATACTGGGCTATCCTGAGCAGGCGATGGTCTCCCATTCTGGAGATGTGCCCTGACCAGCGTAGCTGTGACTTCAGCAACATGGCTTCAATGCTGGTGACTTTCGCCTGTTCGAGGACCGATATAGACAGTATAGAGATAGAAATCTACTCAGCACGTTGACTGTTTCACGACTCAAGCAGTCTTTAGACAATTTGTTTTACATGTTCAGAAGATATCTTGTAAAAATAACAGATTTGTTTCTGTTCATATACACAAGAGGCCGATGGATAGGGCTTCAGAATACGCTGACCGCACCTCTGCAGAGGGGTAAGATTTTCCCTCCCCAAATGAGGCGTAAGACGATAAACTACATCCGCATTCTTGGTAAGACGATAAACTACATCCGCGTCCTGGGTGAGACGATAAACTACATCCGCGTCCTGGGTGAGACGATAAACTACATCCGTGTCCTGGGTAAGACGATAAACTACATCCGCGTCCTGGGTGAGACGATAAACAAAATCCGCGTCCTGGGTAAGACGATAAACTACATCCGTGTCCTTGGTAAGACGATAAACTACATCCGCGTCCTGGGTAAGATGATAAACTACATCTGTGTCCTTGGTAAGACGATAAACTACATCCGCGTCCTGGGTAAGACGATAAACTACATCTAACAGCAAGGCCTTTGATCAGGTGGTTTTGTGGGCATGGAATCTTAATTGCTGGTGTTTTTAGGTCTACCCTGACCCGGGTTGGTAGTATCTGTTAGGTTCCAAGCCTTGGGCAAATAGTAAACACCCAAACTGGGTTCAAAACGTGTAAAAATAGGTTTTAATACCAGAAATACATTTTTGTAAAAGATTATTATCAGCAATGGATTTTTGAAGAAAAAAAATATTAGCAGCAATTCATTTTTAGAAAATAAAAATCCTATCGGCATTAAATAATTAATTGAAATGCCGTGAAACAAACCAAAGTATTCACAATAGCTTCAAATTTGGTTGTAATTATTTTGATATTGTAAAGATTGTTAAAGATATTGCTTGAAATTTGCTTGAGTCGTGAAACTGACAGCTACTATGGCATATATATCTCTGTATATAGATGGATAGATATGAAAAAACTAACACACACATATGTATATATGTGTGTGTGTGTGTGTAGATAGATAGATAGATAGATAGATAGATAGATATGAAAAAACTAACACACATATATGTATATATATGTGTGTGTGTGTAGATAGATAGATAGATAGATAGATAGATAGGAAAAGAATGAAACAGATAGATCGAATCAGTGTAAACAGAAGATTTGAAACCAAATTAGATTCCTCAAGTATGCTTTCAAATAAAAACGTCATTTCAAGCAATAATCATGAATCTTTTACAACATAACATATAATTTATTTTTATATTTCCAGTATTGAAAAGATAGCTTTCATTCATACAGTTAAATAAATGATAAATTTATTCTTCGAAATCACACCAATAAAATGTCCGGAAATAAAATTATTTTTAAAAAATCCCTTAATAAGGAAGCAAAAATGTGCAATTACTTTATAAACAGTTTACTGTAACTGATCGTTTGACATATTATAATATTTATTTAATTCTCTCTCCAATTCAATATATTGTTATATACTACTTGATTTCCACCTCCTTTAGCCTCATCTTCCAGCATTTTCTACTTCCCTGTCCTAATCACCATCATCTTTCTTCTTCCCATCATTATTATTATTATTATTATTATCATTATTATTATTATTATTATTATTCCGCTCTGCCTTTTCCTTCTTCTTTATCCTCATCTTCTTCATTTTCTACTTCTCCATCCTATTCACCATCATCTTCTTCTTCCCATTATTATTATTATTATTATTATTATTATTATTATTCCCCTCTGCCTTTTCCTTCTTCTTTATCCTCATCTTCTTCATTTTCTACTTCTCATCCTATTCACCATCATCTTCTTTCTTCCCCATTATTATTTTATTATTATTATTATTATTCCCCTCTGCCTTTTCCTTCTTCTTTATCCATCATCTTCATTTTCTTCTCCATCCTATTCACCATCATCTTCTTCTTCCCATTATTATTATTATTATTATTATTATTCCCCTCTGCCTTTTCCTTCTTCTTTTATCCCCATCTTCTTCATTTTCTACTTCACCATCCTATTCACCATCATCTTCTTCTTCCATTATTATTATTATTATTATTATTATTCCCCTCTGCCTTTTCCTTCTTCTTTATCCTCATCTTCTTCATTTTCTACTTCTCCATCCTATTCACCATCATCTTCTTCTTCCCATTATTATTATTATTATTATTATTATTCCCCTCTGCCTTTTCTTTATCCTCATTTCTTCTTTATCCCATCCTCTTCTCATCTTCTTTCTTCCATTATTTTATTATTATTATTATTATTCCCCTCTCCTTTTCATCCTATTTCTTCATTTCCATCATCTTCTTCTTCCCATTATTATTATTATTATTATTATTATTCCCCTCTTTTTTCCTTCTTCTTTACCCTCATCTTCTCTATTTTCTACTTCTCCATCCTATTCGCCATCATCTTCTTCTTCTTCCCATTATTATTATTATTATTATTATTATTATTATTATTATTATTATTACGTTCTTCTTTCTTCATCTTCTTCATTTTGTACTTCGCCATATTATTTTCGTATTTTTATTTTTTAACTGAATTAAAAAAAAATTATCTTCCATTCATATCACTCCGTCTGCTTCAGCCATTTCATTCGATTATTTTCCCGCTTCCTCTTCCTTCATCACTCTCGCTCTTTACAATTACCTTTTATTGTTTCTTTTGCTTTTCTCTTTCTTTCTTTCTTTCTTTCTTTTTCTCTCTTCCGTTTCCTTTTTCAATCTCAACTTAAGTTTATCGTCTGATTACAGTCGTCATCAATTTATCTTAAAGGAGTTTTCGGCGGAACGAAAATATTTGCTCGAGCCATACTATTTTTTTATTACGGTTTGATTCGTAAATGAACCTTTATTATTCCAAAATCCAAAGCCTGATTAAAAAAAAATATATATATATATATATATAAATCTCATAATAAAATATAGACAAGAAACGTCTTTTTATATACTTTTATTCGTTAATTCATCCATATTTGTGTCGAAAGGCGAGAAATTCTTTTCGAAGCGTGTCATTATGATGATGGGATGATTCAAGTCTGCAATATAGCCGATCGGATTAAATTATAGGAAAAAGTCAGAAAGGAAGAGAAGAATAAATGCATGAACAAGGGTAGCAAAGCGAGAATGATAAAACTGCAAATCTGTTGTCATCGAAGATTTCCATCAGATATTGCATTTTAAATGGTGAAAATATACCAGCTATTAATGGTTGTTGCACAAAGTAATCATAAATACCAATTTTGTGAATGGATTTCATAGGCTGGAGAAGTTGGAATTGGAGATGATAAAGAAAAAAAATGAATAACAATAATAATAATAATAACGGGGAGAAGAAAGATGATGGTGAATAGGATACACAAACACGCATACACACATTTATCTATCTATACTCATTATCTGTTGCTGTCTCTTTCTCTACGTCCCATTTTTTATCGATCTTTGTTTCTATCTATCTGTTTATATGTAGCTGTTCATTATCTACATATATCTTTTGTTTCTATCTATCTATGTTCATTTTCTGTCTATCTCTGTTTCTTTCCATCTATCTATCTATCTAGCCAGCTATACAGATAGATATCTGTATGTCTATCTATCTAGCCAGCTAGACATATAGATATCTGTATGTCTATCTATCTCGGTTCATTATCTATATCTGTTTGTTTCTATCTATGTCCACTTTTATCTATCTATCTATCTATCTATCTATCTATCTATCTATCTATCTATCTATAAAGAGGGAAGGATATATATATATGCGTGTGTGTTTGTATATATATATATATATATATATATATATATATATATATATATATATATATTATAATTCACCTAAATGATATCACACACTAATACCTGTAGTGTATTCTATTAAGGGAACCATATGGAATATATATGTGACAGTGTTCTTGGTCGATATATAAATATATTATATATATATATTCATATATACATATATATATATATATATTAAATTACCTGATCAATTCTGTATGGAATAATATAGACAGATTCTTGGTATAAAAATGACAATTCCTTTTAAAATATATATATATTTAAATATTAATTCCAAGAAAAAAAATGACAATTGGACAAATCTTAGATTATATTAACTTGAAAAAAAGACTTGACTTTTTTTAAATTTGAATTTTGTTAATGTAACTATAACAACAAAAACATTTCGATTTCAATTTTGCCTTGAAAAAGTCGGAAGACGAAACGCGTCGGCAAAATCATTTTTGTCATTTTATACGATATATATATATATATATATATATATATATATATATATATAATTAATGCACATTAAAATAAAAAAAAATCACTTCATACGGGGAATAAACTCATTTCCACCGACATGTTTTAGTTTTTTCTTGTATCGTTGTTTGTGATCAACCCGGTGGTTGATATTTTGTATTTATTATTAGTCGGGTGTCTTTTACTTTGCCCTAGTACTGGATTGTTTGATACCATTTCATTGAACTATTATCATCTTACTTTCACGTTAAATGCCACGATAATGTTGTGGTTTGGTAACCAATGTATGCGTTATTTTTTATTTATTTATTGATCTTAGAAGGAGATATTCCAAGTAAGCAAGCGAATTGATAGGCAACAATGATTTGTTAAAGTTTAGATTTTTATTGTTTCTTTAGTCGTAATCATGTTTATTTTTCGCAGTAAGAACTTATTGTTATAATAAAACTTAAACCACCAACATGCTCGCCACGGATGATGTGACAAAATCTTTAAAACTTTAAGAAACCGATTTTGCCACTGAATTCTCTTGCCTAGTAACAATAAGATAGATAGATAGATAGATAGATAGATAGATAGATAGATAGATAAACCTAGTGAGCCAGAAAAACCTACCCAGGTTTCACCTAAGCGGACTGTCAGGGAAAGCTGGCTAAAGAAGCAAAAGAGAAACAAAATTTTTATAGGCGATAATCAAAATCATACCAGCTGACCAAAGAAAAAGAAGAAAAAACACAAGAGAAAACAACACCGGGCGGGGGGGCGGAGATTTATTCAAACGACTAAATGGCTGTTTCTCTTTTGCCTCTTTAGCCAGCTTTCCCTGACGATCCGCTTAGGTGAAACCTAGGTAGGTTTGTCTGGCTTACTAGGTGTATCTAGGTCTGCTCTACGGTTGTATTGAGCTCTTTTGTTAGTTAGTTGTTACTTGTATCGGGGTTTTTTCTTTGGGCTTCAGACCTGTATCTGTGCGATTTTTTTCATGTTTCTAACTCTTTCTTTTTTTAAAACCTTTTTTTCCCTCGAGATTGATTTGATTATTGGCAAATCAAAAATTCGAAGGTTTTTCGAAACCAATATAGTTATATATATATATATATATATATATATATAGAGAGAGAGAGAGAGAGAGAGAGAGAGAGGAGAGAGGAGGGATCACTCAATGCGTTCTGTATCATAATGTTGAAAAACATTTAGACTAAAATATTGATTGATTTGTTTTTTACAGTTTATCAACCCATTGGAGATTATTTAAGGTCAGAAAATATTTTAGATTTTATGAATTGGTGAAGATGGGGCGAAATAATGGTTTGGGGATACAAGTCAACTAATTAACCCGTAGTTGAGGGTAGAAGAGGTTGATTCATACCTTTCCTAAGAATAATTGCTCGTAGTTGAATGTTTACGAACTCAACGGGAATTTGAACTCGGTTCACGGATTAACAAATTCCAATCTATTATCCATTACATCATCCGCCCATTCAAGCTCACAGCACCTGGTATTCCAAAGCCGTCACCCACCTCGGTACTGACCAGACTCGACATTGCTTAACGTTGGTGACTGTAGTCGAACTGGTGCTTCAGCGTAGCGGTAAGCTTTGGATAGAAATCGTTATCTTCTAAAATAATCTCAATCCTTGCCCATACACTTATTTCATTAGTGAATCATAATCCCAGCTCAAATATTCTCCTTCCTTTTGTATGTGAAGTGTCGCATCAGGGCATGGGTGATCATAGCTCTCTCACCTGATCTTTGTAGCTCTTAGTAATTTTTGGCTTTTCGCCATCTCTCCTAAACCCTATTCTGCCAACCATTTGTACAATCTTGTTAGGTAGTTTATTCGCCGTTTTCCTCCGTCTCTCTTGCTGTCAGTATGTCTTGTGAGTGTGGAAATTTTCTGAGCCGTTTTTCCTCATTATATACCCTAGAAAGTTCAACTGTGTCTTTCATATATGTTTCTTATATAAGTGTCCTTTTGTTATGTAGTAAAATGTCGATTCTGAAATTCATTTAATAACATTTGCACGTAATTGTATGTTTATCCAACCTTGTATATGTGAATCTAATTTTCAATTACAAGACGTTTTGACAAGACGTTTTAATCCATTATAAACAACGCTTAACACCTGTATCAAGATCTTTTTTTTTCCTTTTCCATTTATCACCTCGATATTTTTAACGTAACTTTATTATTATTTCATTTCCAATCCTTACCATTGCCTTAAAAAAAAAATATCATGCGCATCAAGTTTTACCAGTTCTGATTTGGAAGATGCTAATATGAATAGACGATTAAATATTAATTGGTTTATTCTACGTCTTCTCTACATTCGATGATTGGAACTTACATTTATCTTTCATTGTCGGTCTCTCATTCTTTCTTTTTTATGTCTTTCTTTTTGTATTTTAATTTTGGCTTTCTTTTTCAAGTCTTTCATTCTTTATGTCTTTCTTTCTTTTATCAACCTTTTTTCTTCTTTCCTTCTTTTTTCTTTCTTTATGTTTTTTCTTCTTTTTTTTCTTTCTTTATGTTTTTCTTTTTAGTTTTTTTTCGTCTTTTTTCTTTCTTGATGTCATTCTTTTTAGTTTTTTTTTTTTTTCTTCTTTATCTTTCTTCTTCTTTTTTTCTTTCTTTATGTCTTTCTTTTTAGTTTTTTCTTCTTTTTTCTTCTTCATCTTTTTTCTTCTTTTTTTCTTTCTTTATGTCTTTCTTTTTAGTTTTTTCTTCTTTTTTCTTCTTCATCTTTTTTCTTCTTTTTTTCTTTCTTTATGCCTTTCTTTTTAGTTTTTTCCTTCTTTTTTTCTTTCTTTATGTTTTTTCTTCTTTTGTCTTTCTTTATGTCTTTCTTTTTTTTTTTTTTCTTTTTTTTCTTTTTCTTTCTTTCATTTTTTTAGTAATTTTTTCTTTTTTCTTTTTTTTCTTCTTTTTCTTTCTTTCTTTCTTTCTTTTAATTTTTTTCTTTTATCTTCTTCTTTCTTTTTTTCTTCTTTTTTTTCTTTCTTTTTTTTTTTTATTTTTATTTTTTTTTTTTTTTATTTTTTTCTTTTTTTTTCTTTATTTTTCTTTCTTTTTTTTTTCTTTTTTTCTTTTCTTTCTTTTTTTTTTTTCTTTATGTTTTTTTTTTTTTTCTTTTTTTATTTTTTTCTTTCTTTTTTTTCTTTTCTTTCTTTTATTTTTTCTTTTTATTTTTCTTTCATTTCCTTCTTATCTTTTTTTTTTTTTTTCTTTTTTTTTTTTTGTCTTTCTTTTAGTTTTTTTTTTTTTTTTTTCTTTTTAAGTTTTTTTTTCTTTCTTTTTTTTTCTTTCTTTTTAAGTTTTTCTTTCTTTCTTTTAGTTTTCTTTTTTTCTTTTTTTTTTTTCTTTCTTTCTTTTTTTTCTTTCTTTTTTTTATTTTTTTTCTTTTCTTTTTTTCTTTTCTTTTTTTCTTTCTTTCTTTTATGCCTTTCTTTTTTTTTTTCCTTCTTTTTTTCTTTCTTTATGTTTTTTCTTCTTTTTTCTTTCTTTATGTCTTTCTTTTTAGTTTTTCTTCATTTTTCTTCTTCATCTTTTTTTCTTTTTTTCTTTCTTTCTTTTTTCTTTTTTTTTTTCCTTTCTTTTTCTTTCTTTCTTTCTTTTTTTTTTTCTTCTTTTTTCTTTCTTTATTTCTTTCTTTTTTCTTTTTTTTTTTTTTCTTTTTCTTCTTTATCTTTTTCTTTCTTTTTTCTTTCTTTTTTTTTTTTCTTCTTTTTTCTTCTTCATCTTTTTTCTTCTTTTTTCTTTCTTTATGCCTTTCTTTTTAGTTTTTTCCTACTTTTTTTCTTTCTTTATGTTTTTTCTTTTTTTTCTTTCTTTATGTCTTTCTTTTTAGTTTTTTCTTCTTTTTTCTTCTTCATCTTTTTTTCTTTTTTTCTTTATTTTCTTTTTCTTTTTTCTTTCTTTTCTTTTTTTTTTTTTTTGTCTTTCTTTCTTTTTTCTTTTTTCTTTTTTCTTCATTTTTCTTTTTTTTCTTCTTTTTTCTTTCTTTATGTCTTTCTTTTTAGTTTTTTCCTTCTTTTTTTCTTTCTTTATGTCTTTCTTTTTAGTTTTTTCTTCTTTATGTTTTTCTTTTTTTTCTTTCTTTATGTCTTTCTTTTTAGTTTTTTCTTCATTTTCTTCTTTATCTTTCTTCTTTTTTCCTTCTTTATGTCTTTCTTTTTAGTTTTTTCCTTCTTTTTTCTTTCTTTTCTTTTTCTTTCTTTCTTTTTTTTTTTTATTTTTTTCCTTTTTTTTTTTTTCTTTATGTTTCTTTTTTTTTTCTTTCTTTATGTTTTCTTTTTTTTTTTCTTTATTTTTTTTTTCTTTTTTTCTTTCTTTTCTTTCTTTCTTTTTTCTTTTTTTAGTTTTTTCTTTTTTTCTTCATCTTTTTTCTTCTTTTTTTCTTTCTTTATGTCTTTCTTTTTAGTTTTTTCCTTTTTTTTCTTTATGTTTTTTCTTCTTTTTTCTTTCTTTATGTCTTTCTTTTTAGTTTTTCTTCATTTTCCTTCTGTATCTTTTTTCTTCTTTTTTCTTTCTTTATGTCTTTCTTTTTAGTTTTTCTTCATTTTCCTTCTTTTCTTTTTTTTTCTTTCTTTATGTCTTTCTTTTTAGTTTTTTCCTTCTTTTTTCTTTCTTTATGTTTTTCTTTTTTTTTTTCTTTATGTCTTTCTTTTTAGTTTTTTCCTTCTTTTTTTCTTCCTTTATGTTTTTTCTTCTTTTTTCTTTCTTTATGTCTTTCTTTTTAGTTTTTCTTCATTTTCCTTCTTTCTTTTTTTCTTTTTTCTTTTTATGCCTTTCTTTTAGTTTTCTTTTTTTTTTTTTCTTTATGTTTTTTTCTTTTTTTCTTTCTTTATGTCTTTCTTTTTAGTTTTCTTCATTTCATTTTTTCTTTTTTCTTTTTTTCTTTTTTTTTCTTTCTTTTTTTTTTCTTCTTTATGTTTTTTCTTTTTTTCTTTTTGTCTTTCTTTTTTTAGTTTTTTCCTTCTTTTTTCTTTCTTTCTTTTTTTTTTCTTTTCTTCATTTCTTTCTTTTCTTTTTCTTCTTTTTTCTTTTTTCTTTTTATTTTTTCTTTTTTTTCTTTTTTCTTTCTTTTTTTCTTTCTTTTTAGTTTTTTCTTTTTTTTCCTTTGTTTTTCTTCTTTTTTTTTTTTTTTTCTTTCTTTTTGTTTTTCCTTTAGTTTTTCTTTCTTTATGTTTTTCTTTTTTTTTTTCTTTATGTCTTTTTTTTTTAGTTTTTTCTTCTTTTTTCTTTCTTTATTTTTTCTTTTTTTCTTTCTTTCTTTCTTTCTTTTTTCAGTTTTCCTTCTTTTTTTTTTTTCTTTTTTTTTTTTTCTTTATGTCTTTCTTTTTTTTTTTTTCTTTTTTCTTTCTTTATGTTTTTTCTTCTTTTCTTTCTTTATGTCTTTCTTTTTTTTTTTTTTTCTTCATTTTCATTCTGTATCTTTTTTCTTCTTTTTTCTTTCTTTATGTCTTTCTTTTTGTTTTTCTTCTTTTTTTCTTTCTTTATGTTTTCTTTTTTTTCTTTTTTTTCTTTCTTTTTTATGTCTTTCTTTTTTTCTTTTTTTCTTCTTTTTTCTTTTATCTTTCTTCTTTTTCCTTCTTTCTCTTTTTTTTTAGTTTTTCCTTCTTTTTTCTCTTTTTTCTTTCTTTTTTTCTTTCTTTCTTTCCTTTTCTTTATTTTTTTTCTTTTTTTTTTTTTTTCTTTTTTCTTTCTTTTCTTTAGTTTTTTTTGGTTTTTTGTCTTTTTTTCTTTCTTTTTTTTTTTTTCTTTCTTTATGTCTTTCTTTTTGTTTTTTTCCTTTTTTTTTTTTTTCTTTTTTTCTTTCTTTTTTCTTTCTTTATTTTTTTCTTTTTTTTTTTTTTTTTCTTTCTTTTTTTTTCTTTTTTTTTTTTCTTTTTTTTTCTTTCTTTTCTTTCTTTTTTTTCTTTCCTTCTTTTTTTTCTTTTTTATCTTTTTCTTTCTTTTTTCTTTCTTTCTTTTGTTTTTCTTTTTTATTTTTTTTCTTTTTCTTTTCTTCTTTCTTTCTTTTGTCTTTCTTTTTTCTTTTTTTTTTTTTTTTCTTTTTTTATTTCTTTCTTTTTTATTTTTTTTTTTCTTTCTTTCTTTTTTCTTTCTTTTTTTTTTTTTTAGTTTTCCTCTTCTTTTCTTCTTTTTTTTTCTTCTTTTTTCTGTTTTTCTTTCTTTTTTCTTTCTTTCTTTTTTTTTTTTTTTTTTTTTTCTTTATTTTTTTCTTTTTTTTTTTCTTTCTTTTTTCTTTCTTTTTTCTTCTCTTCTTTCTTTCTTTTTTCTTTCTTTATTCTTTTTTCTTTTTTTTTTTTTTTCTTTCTTTTCTTTTTTTCTTTTATGTCTTTCTTTTTTTTCTTTTCTCTTTTTTTTTCTTTCTTTTTCTTCTTTCTTTCTTTCTTCTTTCTTTTTTTCTTTTCTTTTTTTCTTTCTTTATTTTTTTTTTTTTCTTTCTTTATGTCTTTCTTTTTAGTTTTTTCTTCTTTTTTCTTCTTCATCTTTTTTCTTCTTTTTTTCTTTCTTTATTTCTTTTAGTTTTTTTTTTTTTTTTTTTCTTTTTTTCTTTTTTTGTCTTTCTTTATGTCTTTCTTTTTTGTTTTTTCTTCATTTTCTTTCTTTATCTTTTTTCTTTTTTTTTCTTTCTTTCTTTTTTTTCTTTTTCCTTCTTTTTCTTTCTTTTTTTTTTTAGTTTTCCTTCTTTTTCTTTCTTTATTTTCTTTTTTCTTTTTTTTTTTTTTTTTTTCTTTTTTCTTTTCTTTTATTTTTCTTCTTTTTTCTTTCTTTCTTTCTTTTCTTTATTTCTTTTTTTTTTTTTCTTTTTTTCTTTCTTTATGTTTTTTCTTCTTTTTTCTTTCTTTATGTCTTTCTTTTTAGTTTTTCTTCATTTTCCTTCTGTATCTTTTTTCTTCTTTTTTCTTTCTTTATGTCTTTCTTTTTAGTTTTTTCTTCTCTTTCTTTTTTTTTCTTTTTTTCTTTTCTTTTGTTTTTTTTTTAGTTTCTTTCTTTCTTTCTTTTTCTTTTTCTTTCTTTTTGTTTTCTTTCTTTTTTTTTTCTTCTTTTTTTTTTTTTCTTTTTTTTTTTTCTTTTTTCATTCTTTTTGTTTTTCTTTCTTTCTTTCTTTTTAGTTTCTTTTCTTTTTCTTTCTTTTCTTTATAGTTTTTTTATTGTCTTTCTTTCTTTTTTCTTCCTTTCATTTGTTTCTTTTTTTCTTTCTTTTTCTTTTTTTCTTTCTTTCTTTTTATTTTTTTCTTTTTTTTCTTTCTTTCTTTCGAACGAGGTTTTCTTTTGTCTTTCTTTCTTTATGACTCTTTATGTCTTTCTTTAGTTTTTTTTTTCTTTCTTTATGTCTTTCTTTTTTATATTTTTCCTTCTTTGTGTCTTTTTTTCTTTAGATTTTTCTTCTTTTATGTCTTTCTTTAGGATTGTCTTTTTTATGACGTTCTTTTTTGTATTTCCTTATTTATGTCTTTCTTTATGTCTTCCCTTTATTTTATAGTCTTTCTTTTTATTTTTCTTTCTTATTTTCTTTCTTTTTTTTTCTTTCTTTCTTTCTTTCTTTTCTTTTTTTCTTTCTTTCTCTATTATTTCTTCTCTTTCTTTCTTTTGTTTCTTCTTTTTTTGTTTTTCTTTTTTTTCTTTTTTTTTTTATTTCTTTCTTTCTTTGTATTTTTTTCTTTTTTTTTTTCTTTCTTTCTTTCTTTTTTTCTTTCTTTCTTTCTTTCTTTCCTTTGTGTTTTTTTCTTTTCTTCTTTCTTTTCTTTTTTTCGTTCTTTCTTCTTTCTCTTTCTTTCTTTTTGTCTTTCTTTTTCTTTTCTTTCTTTCTTCAGTTCTTTCTTTCTTTCGTGTCTTTTTTTGTATCTTTCTTTTCTTTTTTCTTTCTTTCTTTCTTTCTTTCTTTTCTTTTTTCTTTCTTTCTTTGTGTCTTTCTTTCTTTGTATCTTTCTTTCTTCGTGTCTTTCTTGTTTGTGTCTTTCTTTCTTCGTGTCTTTTTCTTTCTTTCTTTCTTTCTTTTTCTCTTTCTTTCTTTCTTTTTTCTTCTTTTTTCTTTTTCTTTTTCTTTCTTTCTTTCTTTGTTACTTTCTTTCTTTTTTTTTTCTTTCTTTTGACGTCTTTCTTTCTTTCGTTCTTTCTTTCTTCATGTCTTTCTTTCTTTCTTTCTTTCTTTTCTTTCTTTTTTTTCTTTTCTTTCTTTCTTTTTGTTTCTTTCTTTTCTTTCTTTCTTCCTCGTTCTTTCTTTTTCTCTTTTTCTTTTCTTTTTTTCTTTCTTTCTTTCTTTCTTTTCCTTTCTTTTTTTCTTTTTTTTTTTTCCTCTTTCTTTCTTTTTTTGTCTTTCTTTCTTTTTCTTTTTCTTTCTTTTTTGTCTTTTTTTCTTTAAAATGTCTTTCTTTTTGTGTCTTTCTTTCTTTGTGTCTTTCTTTCTTTTTTTCTTTCTTTCCTTCTTTCTTTTTTTTTGTGTCTTTCTTTTTTCTTTCTTTTCTTTCTTTCTTTGTTTTCTTTCTTTCTTTCTTTTTTTGTCTTTCTCTTCGTGTCTTTTTTGTATCTTTTCTTTTCTTTCTTTGTCTCTTTCTTCATGTATTTCTTTCTTTCTTTTTTATCTTTCTTTTTTCTTTTTTTAGTCTTTTTCTTTCTTTCTGTCTTTCTTTCTTTTTTCTTTCTTTTGTTTTTCTTTCTTTCTTTCTTTTTTCTTTTCTTTCTTTCTTTTTTCTTTCTTTCTTTGTGTCTTTCTTTATTGTGTCTTTCTTTCCTTGTCTTTCTTTTTTATTTTTTCTTTCTTTCTTTCTTTCTTTCTTTCTTTCTTTCTTCTCTTCTTTCTTTCTTTCTTTTTTCTTCTTTCTTTTTTCTTTGGTTTTCTTTCTTTCTGTTCTTTTTTTTGTATCTTTCTTTTTTTCTTTTCTTTCTTTTTTCTTCAACTTTTCTTTGTCTTTCTTTTCCTGTGTCTTTTTCTTTCTTTTTGTTTCTTTTTTTCTTTCTTATGTTTTCTTTTCTTCTTTTCTTTCTTTCTTTTTTTCTTTCTTTCTTTCTTTCTTTCTTTTTGTCTTTCTTTTTGATCAAATTTCTTTCTTTTTTCTTTCTTTCTTTCTTTGTTCTTTCTTTCTTTTTTTTGTCTTTCTTTCTTTGTGTCTTTCTTTCTTTTTTTTTTTTATCTTTCTTTCTTTCTTTCTTTCTTTGTGTCTTTCTTTTTGTTCTTTCTTTCTTTCTTTCTTTTCTTTCTTTCTTTCTTTCTTTCTTTTTTTATCTTTCTTTTTATGTCTTTCTTTCTTTTGTTTCTTTCTTTTTCCTCGTGTCTTTCTTTTTTGTATCTTTCTTTCTTCGTGTCTTTCTTTCTTTGTGTCTTTCTTTCTTTGTGTCTTTCTTTCCTCGTGTCTTTCTTTTTTGTATCTTTCTTTCTTCGTGTCTTTCTTTCTTCATGTCTTTCTTTCTTTGTGTCTTTCTTTCTTTGTGTCTTTCTTTCTTCGTGTCTTTCTTTTTTGTATCTTTCTTTCTTCGTGTCTTTCTTTCTTTGTGTCTTTCTTTGTCTCTTTTTTTCTTTGTCTCTTTCTTTTTCGTGTCTTTCTTTCTTCATGTCTTTCTTTCTTCGTGTCTTTCTATCTTTGTGTCTTTCCATATTCATGTCTGTCTTTCCGTCATCATATTTTTCTTTCTTTACTTCTTTCTTCTTTATCTCTATTCTTCTCCACGTCATCCTTTATTTATGACTCTCCTGCTTTCTTTCTTTATGTCTTTCCTTCTTCATGTCTTTTCTTCTTTTGGTCTTTCTTGCTATATGCCTGTCTTTTTTTTATGACGTTTGTTTTTATGTCCTTACTTCATGCCTTTCTTTATCTCTGTTTTTATTTCATGATGCCTTTCATTCTTTCTGTCTTTTTTCTTTAAGTCTTTCTTTTTTATGTCTTTCTTTCTCTATGTCTTTCTTTTGCTATGTTCTCCTTCTTTATACCTTTCCTTCTTTATGACTTTCTATTTAATCCGTTCGAAATTAGGTTACACGGGCGTTACAGACATACTTGAAGAAGGCCGGAGAGCACAAAGGCCGAAAATGCATTTCGTGTCTTTCCTCCGTTATGACTTTCTTTGTTATCTTTCCTTCTTGTTATGGTGAAACACACCTATTCTATAGTCAATAGACTCTCCCACCTAATATAAGTAGGAGTAGTAAGAGAAACGAGGGTCAGTCGATGTCGGGCGGGGAGGAACCCGAACGAGGCTACGCCGAGGGGCGGAGTCTCGTTCGGGAGGTAAACGCCCTGAACCCGTTTATACGGGTTCAAAGTATACCACATGGCCGAGCCCACGGGCTCGGAGATCCAACGGGCTCGGAGATCCCACGTTAAACCGGCCTTGTGCCACATGATACCCTCGTGGCGGGGGGCCTAAATACTAGTCGAGGTTGGACGACAGTTAGTCGAATACGAAAGTAGTCAGCGACCACAAGATTACTCTGCGTAATGCCTATTATATCAAGTCCCTAACGTTTTGTACGTCGAACTATTTAGGACCGATTTAGTACAAAATACAAGCCTCCACTGCGAAATAACTCCAGCAACCACCGAAATTATGTCTTTTCTTTTTTTTCGTGATGACTTTCTTTTTCTTTCCTTTTTTCAGAGGTCTTTTCATTTTACAGAAGGCTAGAAGAAGAAGGAACAACATCCAAAGATATGACAAAGATAAGGATATTCGTAAATAATGTAAATAACCACAGAAACTATCAGAATTGTTTTGGAATCCGTTCTTGGTTGAACTGAGAACTTTTCATGAATTCCTTGCTTTTCCCAGAGTTAGACTGAACATTTTTATCATACTAAAGTTCACTCAATACAAGTCTCTTGAAACCACTCATGATAGCGCGTTACTGACGAGCACTGTGATATGACGATAAGTATGAAGATTATCAGGATAAGATGGATAAATAGCGATTAAACTGAACTGATTAAGTTTCTAAGATTCAAGTAAGCATCTACAGAGAAATTTGTTCCACAGAGTACCAGTCCTCGGGATAAAATGTATGAGTAGGACTTCATCCTTACAAATGGATGACGGACGATATGTTAGCAATTCGATGCAGCATGGCGAACCCTCGCTGTAAAAAGTCTGAACTGGTGGAACTAAAGAGTGAAGCTCATCGAAATTTAATCGGGCTTAAAAGAAATTAACATGCTAATTAGAGAGGGGTATGCTTATCTATACAATTAGCATTGAGATTTATACGCAGGGACGAATACTAATCACTAGTGACAAGAAGACGAAACTATCTTAGTCACATAGCAAGTCCCTGAATGTTTTCCAAGCTGAGTATTAAATACTAAACTAGAAAATAAAGGAAGATTGTTTAGCGTCATAATAGAAACGGATTCAAATAAGATCAATCTCACAATGGTAACGGAAGCACGAATGAGACAGGCTAACCAATAATCAGGGTTAAAATAACAAAGGAGACCGGATCACGTGTGCATGCTCTCTTGTGATAAGTGGGGAAAAAAAAGGGAAAAAAATCGACCAACCGAAAACGGACTGTCCCATTAATCTTTTGTCACGTATATCCAAAGCTCAAGCACCCGGCGGAACCTTGACATTTTAATAGATTAGAAAATTCGACTCACTTCTCGTTTCTCACCCATCGGCTCCTTTACGGAACCGGAAGTAAAAAAAAAAATAACCAAAAATCCGGTTCCAGTGAGCCGCCACCATCCAAAACTGTACCGCCCGCTCGCACTAAAAAAGGAAGATGGGTTAGGGTCAGTTCCTGAAGAGTCCCAAAGGGGAAGTGCTGAGGAACTGGACAATTTCTGGTAACTGCTTGCATGTGCACGTGCGGAACCTAACATTAAACACGATCTTGTGTCACTTTGCACCCTCGCAGGGTGGGGGTGGATAAATAATAACTAAAGGACCCTGTTCGACCCACACGCCCTAGTGACGATCCCTCATTAACCCGTGGTGATTGATTAAACCAATTTTGTGTCTGTCACACGTGTTTCCATGCAATATGCACAAGGGGTAAACGAATTCAGATTTTTTTATTTATTTTTTATCTCAAGCATGAGAGCAAGAAAAGAGAGTTATCTTTGCTTTAATTCAGCTTATCTTAATTTTAATTTTAATTTTGTTACTTTATTTTTACTATTATTCACCTAAGAAGAGGCCCTGGGAAACACTAAATGTAGAGATTTACTAAACAAGTTCGTTGTAAGGGCGTACGAGGAGGGTGTAGGCATACGAAGTTAACCCGACATTTGAAGAGGTTAATGGTGTAGTGATCGGGGAAGCATCCTCTCAGAAATCGGCACCACAATACAACATTTCTGGCGTAGAAACTGAGTGAAACTTCCTCCTTACTAATGGAATATAAAGAAAATGAGGCTTAGTGGAATCAGTGTACGTGGCCTGGCGAGTGCTGACTGGGAAGGCCTGGTGAAACAAACAAATTTAGTCCAGCCGAACATCTAGCGATAGAGAAGCAAGAGGCTGGCAACATGTCGTCTGTGGGAAAGGGGTTAACGGGTAGAAAATCAGTCATCACTCACAAGGCCGCACAAACGCTTTTGAACCCTGTCGCGACAGGAAAATAAGAACGAAGAAACATCATCCCATATATGACAGCAATACTTTGGTCTGCTCTGGTTCTTATAAAAATCGAACATGTCAGAAACAGTAAGATATGCTCTGCTACAAAGAATCGATCATTTTTTTTCGAACATTTCACCCAAAGCAAGGCAATAAAGCCACCACAAAGCAAAGGGTTACTAATTATTAGAGAATCAAAAAAAAAAAAAACACTATTAAGGAGACAGAACAATAAAAAACAAGAATTAAGAAAACAGATGATAACGATTGACATACTTTTAATTTTTGAATAACAAATTTGATTTTTGTAAAAAATAAAATTCTATAAGAACACTGAAAAGAATATAGATATAAATATAAGAAAAAGAGAAGAAACTATTAGACAGAACTTATTACCCTTCAGGCATCTAACCATTTCAACTGTAAAATGATGTATGAAAAAATTCTTGACGCCAATTTCAGGACAGAGTGGATGTAATAAAAATGTCCACTATTTATAATATATAACGTATATAGATATATATATATTATATATTATAAAATATATAAAAATGTGGTAAAAGCCAGAAGGGGGATGAGGAGCCAGTGGACTGGTCTTCAATCTGGGGTTTGATAAAGCATTAGTACCTCAAACACCCCCATAATATTCTAGAAACCAATATACTTGATTCTTGTCTCTTGACCCAAAAATAAATCAAATTGGTTTTATTTTTGAAAAATCATATTTGAAGAGCAATACTTATTAAACAGTCACCAAATAAATTACTTGAAAATCAAAAATATTATCTAACCAAAAAACTCCTTTGTAGTTACTTGTCCCAAAAGTTACGTTGGTAGGTTCATTATGTTTTTAATGTATCTGGAGGAATTGGGGCTGAGAAATAAAAATAACTTTTAAAATGAAACACTATATTTGTGTATAATTGAATATTTAAAATTCGGCTAACAATCATCAGAACAACTAACATGAAAAAATTTATAGAAAACAGTAGACTAATTGCAAAAGACGTTTAGCCATCATGTCACCATTTATCGAAGAATAAGTTTTAAAATCGTTTTGTGGAAATATCTTCCCAACAGAGAGGAAAAAGATTATTCAGGCCTTCATACCAACATTCAGGACTAGTTCATTCAAGAACCATAACATAATAAGTTTAAAAAGAGGGAACAGTATTTCTTCATTGGATTTTTTCAAGTGTCTCTAATTATATAGCAGGAGGAGAGGAGTTTCCAGACCTGAAAATGACTAAAAATTAAATCTAATATTCAAAAGAAGGACGTTGAAAAAATTAAAAAAAACTATATATATATATATATATATATATATATATATATATATATATATATATATATTAATTGATTTAAAATAATGTTTTTTTGTAATAACAAAATGTCTTAAACAATTATATAATATATGTTTATAATATATATATATATATAAAACCCCAGTAATTTAATTTTGCAATTAAATTAAAAGCATTAGTTCCATTTTCATTTTCAATAAGTACGATTCGCTTTTTTCAATTTAATTATCATTTATCTCTTAAAAATTGTTGTAATCTTTGGTTTTGAGCTTCTATTTTATAAAATAAATTTAAAATGAAAAAAAAAATTTTATTTTTTGAAAAAAAAGAGCAATACTAAAAATTTTTAAATCAATTAATTTATTTTATTTTTTAAGAAACAAAATAAAATTACTTGAAAATATTAATTTTTAATAAATATTATATTCAGTAAATTTACATTGGATATTTAAAACACTATTTTTGTAAAAATAAAAATATCTATAAGAACACCGAATTTTATATCTTAACTGTTTTTTTTGTTTTTTTTCTAGTAACATATATATATATATATATATATATATATATATATATATATATATATATATGAAATATATATATATAATTCAAAAAGACAGTTTATGTTTTGTGTCAGAACCACTATCTTCCCAACTGAAAATTAAAAAAATCATAGTTGAATCCATTTCACATACAAGAATTAATAAGTTACCAAATATCAGGCAAA